AAGTGTGGTACTCCTTTAATCCCAGCACTCAGGAGGCAGAGGCAGGTGGAACTCTGTGACCAAGGCTAGCCTGGTCTAAATAGTAGCCAACAAAGAAATTGGTACCAGAGAAATGGGGCTTTCTTTTAACAAATATTTAGAAAGGTGGGAGGCAGCTTCTGAACCAGGGAAAGGGCAGAGGTTGGAAGAATTTGGAAAAGCAAGACAGAGGCCTCTGTTGCCATTAATGATGCATTAAGGGTGATTCTGGAGACTTCCCAGAAGAGGATTGCTTTAGTGAACACTTCATTCTGAAGATTACAAAGGTGAACAGAGTATTGGTGAAAATGTGGACGGCAAAGGCCCTGAAGTATCAGACAGAAGTCAGAAGCTGGGAACTGGAAGGCCACTCTTGTCACAAACTGGAAACAACAAAACAAATTGGAGAGCTGGCTCAATGGTTACGAGCACATGATGCTCTTGCAGAGGACCCAACTTTGGTTCCCAGAACTCATGTTGGTGACTCACAATCACTTATAACTCCAGCTCTGGGGGGATCTGAAGCCTCTGGCCTCTGCAGGCAGCTGCACTCACATGCACATGTCCACACACAGACAGACACACACATAATGGTTAAGAACACTGGCTGTTCTTGCAGAAGACCTGGGTTTGAATACCAGCATCCACATGGCAGCTAACAACTGTCTGTAACTCCAGTTCCAGGGGATCTGACAGCCTCTTCTGTCCTCTGCAGGCATTGCACGACACGGGTGCACTTATCTACATGCAGGCAATACATGCATACACATAAAATAAAAATAAAATACTTTTTAAAAAATTGACATAATTATGTCCCTGAACAAAGGGCTTTGTGGAGGGAAAATTTAAGAACAGTGAACTGGGGTATTTGGCAGAAGAAAAATCTGAGCATCAAAATTCTGACAGATGCTTAAAACTGTCTAAAGAAAAAAATGAGGAGAACTGAGAACTGAGTGTGGCGGCTCACATCTGTAATTCTAGCTCTTGGAAGTAAAGGCAGGAGAATCAATTCAAGGTCACCAGGTTTGTCTGCTAGGTAATTCTAGATCCTGTCAGTCAATCTTAACCGTACAGTAACGAAGAACTGATTAACAATCTCCTGAATTCATGTCCTCTCATGGCCACAGGTATCACAATAGTTAAAGAATATGAAAGAGGAAGAGATGAGATTACAAAATAGGAACCTCCCCCAAACCAGAGAGAGAGAGAGAGAGAGAGAGAGAGAGAGAGAGAGAGAGAGAGAGAGATGAGATTTCAAAATAGGAAGCTCCCCCAAACCAGAGAGAAAGAGAGAGATGAGGTTTCAAAATAGGAAGCTCCCTCAAACCAGAGAAAAAGAGAGAGATGAGGTTTCAAAATAGGAACCTCCCCCCACACCAGAGAGAGAGAGAGAGAGAGAGAGAGAGAGAGAGAGA